GCATGATTTCTGTAATCATCTATTAGTTGATACTTGCTCATCATATATCGTGTTGGTCGAATCATCTCGTCAAGAAGTTTAAATGTGACCCCTCATCAGAATCCGAACATTTGTTTGGCATTTACAGGGTGTTTGTGGCGGGGATTAAAATTAGATTTTTAGTATATTATGATAGAAGTTTTTGAAATGTGTGGTTGAAAAGTTGTGGGGTCCATGAAAGATGTTAATATTGACTGTTTGACGTTGATTTAGATTAAAANNTGTTTGACGTTGATTTAGATTAAAATCTGATTTTAATCAGAAACAAACATGGCCTTAATTAATTTTTCTTTTCAGATGCAGGGATGTGCCCGAATGAGAAGGAGAAGTCTAATGTGAGGCAAATCCTTTTATCCTCGTACAATAGTTTATTGGCTCCAAAGGTGAAACAAGAATGCTTGGATGCCCCAATTGTGGCACCAAAAGAGATTATAAATGGGAATCACACAATAAGAGATTGCAATAATTTTTCCGTTTGGTTCATTCAGTTCAGCATTCTTCTGCAAAGAAATCTCAAGGAGAGAAAGCATGAAATGTTTAATTACTTGAGAGTTTTCCAAGTAATTGCAGCTTCATTATTGGCTGGTTTTATGTGGTGGCACTCAAATTATCACGATATTCAAGACAATCTTGGACTTCTCTTCTTTATTTCCATCTTCTGGGGTGTTTTCTCATCTTCCAATGCCGTTTTCACTTTCCCTCAAGAACGCGCTATTTTCATAAAGGAAAGGGCTTCGGGTATGTACACACTTTCATCCTACTTCATGGCACGAATCACTGGGGATCTACCTATGGAATTCGTCCTTCCAACGTTATTCCTCACTATAGTTTATTGGATGACTGGGTTAAAACCCGAACTTCCTCATTTTCTCTTGACACTAATGGTCGTGCTCAGTTACGTGCTTGTGTCGCAAGGGCTTGGCCTTGTGCTCGGGGCATTGATCATGGATGCAAAGCAAGCCTCTACAGTTGTGACAGTTACAATGCTAGCATTTATATTGACAGGAGGGTACTATGTGCATAAAGTGCCACACTTAATGTCATGGATTAAATATGTTTCGACTACATTTTATAGCTATAGACTTCTTATCCACGTCCAATACGGAGAAGGAAACAGAATTTCTTCGTTGCTCAACTGCACCACCAGTGATTACTATAGATCAAGCTGCAAATTTGTTGATGAAGACATTAGAGGGCAAATTCATCCATTGATCAGTGTTGGTGCATTGTTGATTATGTTTGTAGGGTACAGATTGTTGGCCTATTTTGCTCTAAGACACATCAGAGGTTAATGGATGATACAGTCAGAAAGCGTTTACGACAAAGAACACAAATTCAGTCTCATTGATTCGCGTCGATATTTAAGTTGTGGGTCCGTCCCCATCGAAAGAAGATAACCTTATAATGTCAGAAGATCAATGGACTTGCTAGCTCCCAATTACTAAAACAAGATGTGATGTGATAGAAATTGAAAGGAATTGATCAATTCCTAACTGTACCTGGTATTGTAGGCATACAGTTTAAATTATTATAAGCGTAGTTACTCTTAAATGTTAACGTTTCTCATGACTTGCCTAATTGAGAAGAATTTGGCAATATGACATTGAAAATTGAGGTGCGTCATATATATTAATATTTGAAAAATGTAATTTCATATTCATCGCACTAACATTTAATAATTACAAATTCATTGCGTTGAGGCTTCTCAAATTCTGTTTATCACATCAATTGTATTTATAGAAGTTAAAAATCTCCAAATAAACTACTTTGAAATGGGCTTATTTGCATTATCAATAACAGAAAGAATTTCTTCTTGAGGCCATCCTTAAGAAAATGAGATCCGGATGCCGCAATGTAGGATGGTGTCTCTAAGAACTTTGGCTTTAGTTTTGATGAGGCTAATGAAGATTACAATCGGCTTTTGATAAGGCTAATGAAGATTACACGGTTGGGCGGGGCATGAGGTATATGTTTATAGTTTGAAGACTGATTCTTGGAGGAGGATTGGAGATTTTCTTTTTAAAGGGTACCATGCTTAAGCATGTTTCTTCAGGCATATTTGCGAATGGGAAGCTCCATTGGTTGGTGAGCTTCGTCGTGTATTGCTTCTCTTGATATAGTGATCGAGACATATGGGATGTAGGAGAACAAAAATCCCAAAATACATTAAATTAACTTGGCATATGGAGTTGTAGGAGAATGCTTTTGCGTGCTTAACAATTATCGAGAAACTCCTGCGGATGTGTGGGTTTCGAAGATGAGATTAAAGAGTCTTGGAATAAAGTAGTTACAATTTCTTTCATAAAAAAATGCAACTTGTACAGATTCTTTTAACAAATGGGGTTACAGGTATTGAGCTGGCAAGATTTCACTGACTGGTTTAACCCTTTTTTTTTGGTCTAAAGTAGTGTGAAATCTTGCCAACTCACCATTCTGTAATCTCATATGTTAAAACGGCCTATACAAGTAACATTTATCTTCTTTCATTGATGGTCCCTCGAAATGCTTGAAATCTATCTATATGACACCATTGTACATACTACCAGATGAGGTCCACTACATTAGGTTTTGGAGTATGAAAAATGCTGCTTGGATAGGAAAAAGAAAGGGTTCAGTGACGGGGTGATTTCGCATCCCCTGATTTGAGTGTCTTATTATTATTTTTTTCTAATTTCTAATAAAAACCTGTCAGGTGTTGTCAGGAAAAAAAGTCATGTCATTGACTCAGGTTGTGTAGCACAACTATTTGTAGTATACAATTCGAAAAAGAATTCGAGTAGCTTTCCCAAGATTAGTGATTTGAATTTCTCAATCATCTACATATCTTTGCTTTTTGCAAGTACATGAATGGTACATAATGCTGGATAGAAGTAGACAACACAAAAGATAAGATTTTTTGCACGTTAATCTTTCCTCATGGCGTGATTTATTGGTTGTACGGGATAGTTCTTTCAATGCACATCATTCACTGGCTTGCAACTATTGACACCAAGATTTCATATATGAAGGGAGCATAGGAAATCACTGGCCAGGTTTATGCAACTCATCTTTTGAATTTGTGAATTTTCCTCGCATATCTATTTTCATTATCTTATGATGAACTGTTGGTCATCATAGGATATGAATTGCAAAGTTTAATTTAACAATAGATGGCGTCGACAATAGGATTGCACAAAAAAATCGCTAAAAATGAATCACATCATTGTAATAAGACTAAGCCCTTGTTTGACCATTACTATTTTAATTTTTTTTTCTACATACCCATTTTCAACTACACATTCACACGATAAAATATTCTGTACGTAAACTTAAAACTTTTTCCTACTTTTCAATCATATATTCTTCAAAAATCACTATTCAAAACTCTATTTTACTTTAATAACGGTTGTGAAACAGGGACTAAGTATGTCAAATTTGACAAACTATGGTAATATTTATTCGAGAGGTCCAATAAGGATAAATTTGCTTAATCAATAGTAGTTTAAAAATGTAAGTGTCAAAATATAGAAGCCTGAAGAGGGGAAATGCAACTTAAGCTAATGCTGGAAAACCTAGCATGCAAATTCCTTAGAAACAAAACAAGAATTTTCGATGAATTCAATGTTGTCAAGGCAAAACCTTTGTCATTAAGGCATAAAACCCAACAAGCAGCATTAGAATTACCCTATAATCGAAAAATCCCTTTAAAAATCCCATCATTATCCATAAAAAAAAGGTACAAGGAATTCAGGCGAACCGCAACAATGGCCGTCGATTCGTCATCATCTGAAGCAAAAGTTCATATAGTCTACACAGAAAGACCCGAAGGTGAAGAGCCAGAAGCCTACCATATCAAGACCCTAACCTCTGTTCTTGGCAGGTTCGTCTCTCTATCTCTCTCTCTTTTTTAAATATTTTTCCCCTTCATTTCTTTATTCAAATTGAAAGTAATAAATTATTGGAATTATATACATTGTTAGTGAAAACCTGCACTTCGATCACTGTAATTTTCTTGCTTAATTGGAATTAGGACTTAGTCCCCTCAACGTTTGCCACTGACAATTAAGGGTAAAATCCTATATGAAAACGATAATCAACATTCGTTTGAGATAAAGGTTGAATTCTTCACATGAAACCGAAAACTTAAGTAGGGTCAGAGAGCCCAAAACGCTTAAATGAGCAATTCAAATGTAAAGTTCAAACTTGTAGTGGAATTTCAAGATCGGTGCTATCAAACAAGTCACCATATACCATTTGACAATAATAATCAACATTTAAGGGCTTAGGCCAAGCCAGGCCCTCAAAATTTTAAGGTCACTCAGTATTATGAGACCCTTAGGCATAACATTTTTCTACAAGTGTAAAAATACTTAAATATTTAAGTAAATAATATATTTACATTCTAAACAAAAACTTGGTACAATTCTAAAGATAAAGTAGTAAAAATATTATTTCGATAACTTGATAGACTAGGGCATAATAAATAGCACATTATGGACTCGTGAAAAAAGTTATCTTGTAATAGATACTTATTGGGGGATTGAGAATTACCCTATCAATATTGGACTCATTCCCAAACTCATAATAAATTGCACATTTTGGACTCGAAAAAAAGTTATTTTGGATAAATCAAATTCAAGTTATAACTCATTAAGCCATTGTTTGGCCCATATTAAAATTATAATTTATTTGTCTCTCTCTTCTTATCAACCACATATTTTCCGATAAAATAATATTACATGTATATTCAAAACCCCTCTAACTTTTTAACCATACATTCTCCAATAAACAAGAGCTAAAGTAAACTACTGATGTATAATATTGCTTTCCAAATTAAATCGTATTATTATATGATAATATTGGACTTATTTGATAGCTTATAATTAATCATGTACATTATATTGAAGAAAAAATTATTTTGGATAAGATCGTACTAAGTTAGAATTAACAAAAAAATTATGTTAAATAATTTTTTAATTAATCCATCTATTAGAAATTATAATAATTTAATTGGGATTTTACCATGGTTTTCATTTGGAGGCCCCCATTAGATGTGAGGCACTAAGCCATTGCCTAGTCACAATTCTATATTATTGGTCACAAATTATCGAATTAATTGTCACAAATTATTTCTCGGTTAGGAATTAGAATTTTATAGGTCACAATTTATTTATTAGTTACACATCAAAAAAATTATAAGTCACAGTTAAATATATTAATGTCACAATTCTATACAATTTGATCAGAAATTCTTGAATTAATTGACACATTATTTATCGACTACAAATAAAAATTTTTATAAGTCACAATTTATTTATCGATTACAGATCGCAAATCACAAAAATCTATAAGTCACAATTCAAATTTTTAGGTCACATATTATTTATTAATCACAATTTATCGGTTACCACCACTTCCAACAATTTTCAACTTCAAAATCCCACCACAACCAACTGCAACAACAATATCCAACAAAATCATCGCCACTGTCGCCCAACCACGACTACTGCACCATCGCCACGACCACCACCTCAATAGCATTGCCAACATCACCACAACCTCACCACCGTAACCAAAATCACGATGACCACCACCCAAACACAACTAAAAATTAGATCTAAAAAACCAAATCCAAAATTACAGATCCAATATCATTGGCCACAGTACCCACCGCTGCAACACACCTTCGTTTCTTCTCATTGCAGATTTCTACCTCAACCTATATCTATAGAAAATTGCATCAACAACCATGCCAAAAAGCCTTGACGCTGCCACTCAAACAGGCACCTACCTCTGCAAGTTCCACTGCTCGTTCAGCAACGATGCTCAAAGCGTCGAGCGTCTCTGTGCACGGTTCTCACAGCGGTGCTGCAAGTTCCGGTGGATGGATGGAGTGACTGCAGCTTTCGTTGGGTGAATGGAGTGGAGGTAACCGCCGCGTTACCCCGGCCTACTTCTGGCTCGACTCCTCCTCCGGCCAAAGCGTCACTACCAATTTCAAAACATCTCATCCCCATAAAAGGTGAGATTGTCTCCGGCGGCGATGCTCTCCAGCGGTGATCCTTTCGTGAGGGGAGGGTAGAGAGAGATGGGAGAGGAAGAAGGTGAGGGAGAAAATGATTAGGGTTCGAATGGGGTGGATGGGTTTGAATATATAAATTAATTTACAATATAATTATTAATATTTAAAATTTTAATTATCATCAGATTTTTTTTTTTAAACTTGTAAATCTTAATTTTGAAATGGAAAGTTTAAAATTCTTGATGGCTGTAATTTCCACTATTCAATATAGACGCAGTCTGTTATGGAATTGATTGGAATGAAATTGACTGCAGAGTACTATGAATTTATGGGTTTTAATGGGGTTTGTTTGAATTTTGATGGGGTTCTCAAACAGTGAGGATGCTGCAAAGGAGGCTCTGGTGTATAGTTACAAGCATGCTGCAAGTGGCTTCTCTGCTAAGCTGACCCCAGACCAGGTCTCTCAACTTTCGAGTAAGTTTTGCTTTTCTTTGTTGTTTCAGTTTACTAACCTAGAAAATTTATGTTTTATTTGCTTCTGAATTTTGATCTCCTTTTGATTTCAATTCTGCATAATTTTGAAAAATCAGACTTTAATATTACGACCTTCGTGTTTTGAATAGTATTCCAACATGAAATGCATTAATAGCATGAATTCTTGGTGGGCAATGAAGATGCAGCACCGACATGGAAGTTTTGAACCTTCTGGGTCTTCCTCCATTTATCTTTCTTGTTTTATAAATTTGATTATTTTTAGATTTTTCTCGTTGAAGCCAAATAGAATCTGTAGCATTCCAAGTAGATAATATTGTATTGCTATTTTGATTTCTCTAGATGGAAAAGTCGCTTATTTCACCGACTTCATAACACTATGTCCTTTGGTCTCCATTATTTCCAAAATACGTTCTCTCTTATTTTTAGGGTAATTAGCAGAAATGGTCCCTAACGTTTACATTCATTGCTAAAATGGTCCCTATCGTTTTAAATTTGATATTTGTACCTTTATTCCAAACGTTTGTTGCGGAATTGGTCCTTCCATCCAATTCCGTTAAATCCGCCGTTAGGAAATTTAGAATGTTTTGCCAATAATATTTGAAAAATGGAAAATTAGTCACTTCCCATATTTTTTCTCCTCTTAAAGTTTTTGATGAATGTAATTCTTATGGTTTGATGTAATTTATAAGTTTAGACCACAACTCAAAACGTTGTCGGCAAATATCATGCTTATCCCTTTAACCATTTAGCACAAATAATCATTGATGAGCAACCCGAGGATTTGGGGATACACAAAATATTTTTTGACTTTTCACTGTTGCAATCGTTTTTTGTAGATCTTATGAATTTTTGTCTAATAGCCCAATGTAATATACATAGCAGGCAGTTTAGCTTATCAGTTATCAGAAATATTGAAACCATCTTTGGTTTGTTAACAATGTAATTTTCTATTGTAGCGGTTTTTTTCCTTTTACTATGATATTTTGTATCAATTGTAGTAGATTAATATTGAGAACGTCTACTACATAGTTAATCAATGATTATTTGTGCTAAATAGTTAAAGGGTTAAGGATGATGTTTGCCGACAACGTTTTGAGTTATGGTCTAAACTTATAAATTACATCAAACCATAAGAATTATATTCCTCGAAAATTATAAGAGGAGAAAAATATGGGGATTGACTAATTTACCCTTTTAAATATTATTGGCAAATTCCATA